TGCCGAATATTATCGCGAAAATATTCTGGAGGGTGTATTAAAGCATTGGGTATGCAAGCATTTTGGCAGCAGACCATGGACATTCCAACAGGACTCAGCACCATCGCACTCAGCATGCGCCACCCAAGAATGGTTACAAAATAAGGTTCCTCACTTTATTTCCAGTGCACAATGGCCACCAAAATCTCCGGATACCAATCCGTTGGACTATTGTGCCTGGATTATTTTGGAAAACAAGGTGGGCACTAAAAAATACCAAAGTGTCGTTCGCCTTAAGCAAGCGTTTCTCCGGGAATGGGCTAAAATACCGCAGAGCAACATTTGGGAAGCGTGTGACGGTTTCATTGGCCATTTGGTGACCAATTCGAACATATCTAAACTTATTTTAAAATTTGTTGCTATTTCCGACAGTTTTTGCTTTCATTCAATAAAATTTAAAGAAAAACATAAAAAAATGATGGCGTCTGATTTTGTTGCAGTTTTTTCTATCTCACCCTGTATATCAGGCTAAGGTCACATACGAAATTTACAATGTTGCCCCACTCCTTCCGAAACACCAATGGTCAACACATTTAATAATGATAACGCAAGTCAAAATTTTCTGAGGATACACATTTGTCGCAAATCCGACTGAACAATTTTAAATTGTTTTTATTGAAATTTCCAATTGTTTATCATAATTCGATCTTTTTTCAAACGCCCCTCTTTGTGTCATCTATTTCCTCTCAATCTCCCTCCCTTTCTGGACACCAATTGCCCCACATTTCCAGCCATTAAACAAATTCTATTAACGTTTACACCATACAATTTGTAATTTTATAAAAACGAATTTAAAAATTTCCATTTTTTAATCACTTAATGGCGCCCAACACTAACCAGCTGCCGCCACAACCACGCCAACGACGCCGGCACCAACCTGTGTTCAATTAAAAGGTCCTGCCAAATAATTTATCAAATGTCATACAATTTATAATAGACTTCCTTATGTTTTATGTTAATCAAATTTGTTTTTTATCAGACAACTAGATCAAATAAATTTCCTTTATGCATGTACGGAAACAGCAGCAGTGGAAAAAATTCTGGAAAAAAACAAGGAAAATTTAATAAATTTACCTAAGAGGAAATTTTATAATTAAATATAAAAAACCCAACACATTCACACAATTTGTTGTCCATTAACGTTGTTGGGCAGTATTTGGGTAAAATGGCTGGCAACAAGGGAATATAAAAACAACCTTGTGAATATACATACATACATACATATATACCTGCCCGTCAGCCTGCATATGTATGTTGCAATGTTTGTGTATATGACCAGTGAGTCTTGCATATGACCTATATGAAAAAATATATTAAAACATTTTGCGTGTTCATTGGTAAAAATAAAATCAGAGGAAAAAAGTTTCTCTCCATACACATAGGTTTGTAGTTGTGTGAGTGTGTGTTAGAAAAAAAAAATATTTTTTCTCTGAATTAATTTTTTTACTGCATTTGCATTAAAATGGGGGTTTACATTTGTGGTAGTCAAACATATGGGGCATATAAAATGAATTATTTTTTTTAATTTGATAAATAAAAATGACATTCAAATGTATTGGGTCCATTCAAAATTTTCTACCCACTACATAATGATGTGCAGAATACGAAAACCGAGGATTCGAAAAATATTACCAAAAAAAAGACATTTTTAACAGAAAAACTTTTTTTATTTCGGTGCATGCTAGACCTTATTTCCTTTCCTTTGAAGCATCCATATTGTATGTATGTGTATGTGTATGTTGCGTCTGACGGAAGTCAAGGGAACATTGCGTGTCATACATGTTAACATGCTATGTATGCGACCATAAATACGCACATGTATTGGCCAAAGTGTGTGTGAGTGTCGCTGATTGTGTGTTTTTTGCTAACATGCGACGCATCCGTAATTTTTAATTACTTGGTCAATATTTAATTTGTTGAAAGTTTCAAACACGATTTGCGATAAGAAATGTATGTTTTTTTTTTTTTCGAAATTTATGGTCATAGATTAAATCGGACATAAAGTCGTCTAAGATTCTTTTTGGTTCCTCTGAGAAAAGTATTTTATAATTTATCAAAGGGAGAGGTCAGTGGAAAATGCCTTAATTGATCTGCAGGAAGGCAAGTATTTCGAAGGACATTGAAAAGCAATAACAACCACGTTTATAGGAACTTTAAACAATTGTCGGCCTTAAAAAATATTTTTGTATTAAAGATTAGAAATCATGTTGTTGGAAAAGAATGTAAAATACACGACTATTAATGCTTCAAATAATTTAAAAGTCCACGTTCACCAGTAAGGAAAAGTCAAAAGTCGGGTGGGACCGACTATAAGATACCCTACACCTGTAGTAGAGCTCGCATAACAAAATAATTTATTTGAAGTAGATCATATATCATACCTACTATCAACTATTAGCTTTAGAGCAGCTAAAATTTGGTTCCAGAGGGAACGAATGTATGGCAGGCTTATCAAGGCCTAAATCGATTTTCACTAAATTAAACGGATACATTTTAATCTTTTATACCAAAAAGTATTGCTATAGAGTGCATGATATCACTTCGAGAAGGAATATATAAAAAATATATATATATAGGAGCCGAGTTTCACAAAATGGATACATACGTCCCAAAATGCACTACATTTGGACTGATATTAGCCAAATAATTGCACAATAAACTTGAAATCTGATTAATGATATATATGGAAGCTATATCAAAATCTAAGACGATCTCGACAAAACTTGGCAAATGTATTTCTAAGCTCTATAAGATATCTGGTACAAAATATCATTGTTGTCGAAAGCATATTACGAATGTGAGGAACTTAAAAACAAAATCGAATGAAACATATATATAGGAGCTATAGCTGCATCTGAACCGATCTTGATACAATTTGGCAGAGGTATTCCACGGCTATATCCGATATCTGATACCAAACATTATTCTTGTGAGGTGCATATTACGAATGTGGGCACTTTAACACCAACTCGGATGAAAACTAGCTATAGCTATATCTGAACCGATTTTCTCCGAATTCGATTTACTTGATTCTAGACTGAATTCGGTCGGATGTACCAAAATTCAGGACTTTCTGGAAGATGTCGGCCATTTGGTGCACAATTAACCCGAAATCGGTTGAAAATATATTTTGGAGCAATATCCAAATCTGAACCGATCTTAAAAAAACTTGGAGCTATAGCTATTTCTGAACCGATTTTCTCCAAATTCGATTTACTTGCTTCTAGACTGAATTCGGTCGGATGCACAATTAACCCGAAATCGGTTGAAAATATATTTTGGAGCAATATCCAAATCTGAACCGATTTAAAAAAAAAAATTTGGCAGAGGCTATATCTGAAGCGATTTTCACCAAATTCGATCTACTTGCTTCTAGACTGAAATCGCCTGGATGTGCCAAAATTCAGGTTATTTGGACTTATATTGGCCATTTGGTTCACAATTAACCCGAAATCGGTTGAAGATATATGGGAGCTGTATCTTAATCTAAGCCGATTATCACCAATTTCAATAGGGTTCGTCCTTGGGCCACACAAATATTGTTTACAAAATTTCATCTCAATCGGATAATAAGTGTGACCTGCATTTTGTTCACAAAAATACGTAGGCAGACGGACTGACATGCATAAATCGACTCAGAAAGTGATTCTATGAATATTCTCAATAGTAACTATGGGTCTATCTCGCATCCTTCTCCATGTTACACACAAATGCACAAAGATATAATACCCTTACCACTATGTGGTGTAGGGTATAAATATCCCCAAAGAAAAAAATCTAAAAGAGACAAATCGCACGATCTAAGTGGCCAATTCTGGTCGCCAAACGCAAAATAACACGTCCGGGAAATTACTGCCTTATTTTCATAAAAAGGGGTCCAATGATTCCTCCACTCCACAAAACATTTTCTGAGGTCTGTGTCGAATTGAGGTGAATGGAGTTTGAACGACATCATCACGTACAGCTGCGATATTTTCGATCGAACTGGTCGAATGCGCGCTGTTGTCTTTACATTACTAACAGACTTAGCTTCGGCAATTTTTTAATTAATTACTTTACAATTGACTCTTTTGGAGCATTATTGAATGCAATTTGAGAAGTCTAGCCAAAAATTTTCACAATTTTGACAAACCATTTTCACAATGATAATTTGCCGCCATTCGACTATTTGCCATTCCCTTCACCAAATTTAGTAACACTTACTGCGCATATCCAAAAAAATCTACATCTCTATACCGATAATGGTTGAAAATTAGTACTATTTAATACTTTTTGAACAATTATAGTAAGCTTTTGTAAAACCACCAACAAATTCCTACACTACAGATACCAACAGAGACCTAAATATAAAATTTCAGGATTCTAGCCTTATTCTTTCACCCTATTCTAAATTTAGCACCACTAATTACTTTTGCAAACTACCGCCACAAATTTCAGTAATCTGAATATCTAATTTCAGACATCTTTATCTTTATCCCCTCACGCAATTCCAAGTATAGTACCATTTAGAACTTTTTGTGGTCTTGCAGTACACTTTTCCAAAACAGGAACCGCAATTCAAAATTTCAATTTTCAGTATTATTCGTTGACTCTAAGCCGAACTGTTTCAAATTTAGTACAGTTCGCGCACTTAATATAATATAGTACCAATATATATAGTATCATTTTAAAACTTTTCGTAACTTTTGAGTTGGAATTTCCAATAACTCGTTGACATATCTATCCTACACTCGGTCGTGACTCTCATTCTAGGCTTCACCACTCTCGTTCATTCCGTTTATCAAATACGAAGTATTTCATTTTAACACTTTTCGTACCCTTTCAGTACGAATTTTCAAACCCGAAAACCCAAAAAAAAAAGAAATATTTATTGTTGGTTCTTTAAATTTCACGATTGTTATCATATGACACTTCAAGAGGTCTTTCCTCGAAATGTGTCTAATATCGAAAGTTGACAGATATTTCCACTTTATATTTAAAATATCACGATAATCGTTGAAGTTTTATTAAAATATAATATATAATTTATATATTCTTCTAATATACATTTTTTCCGGTTAATAAAAATATCTCTCTATTTGCGAGTGCACATTTTCAAACCGGAACCCAAACACGATGCATAACCCATCATATGGGGTATAGCATTTTGTTCATATACACCGGTAAACAAATGAGACCATGGTCCCGAGGCATATACACCGACATCTTCACCGCCATGGGTCTCATCTTCCAGGGGCCAGGCAGCTGGGAAACGATCATAACGATCACCAGTTATAACTGTGGTTGGATCCACACGCTCGGACTTTTCAACATCAAAGAAACGATCATAGCTGGGACCATTGGCATAACTCAAGGTCATATAAGGCTTTCTGTCATCCGGATTGGCAGGAGTCTGGCCGAAAATATCATTGCCACGTTTCTATAAATGTATTGCAGTATTAATAAAATATCAAGGAATTGATTGTACAAATGCCAACTTACTGGATAACCATTGTAGGAAAAGGAATGCGAATGATCTGCAGTTACCACAATCAAGGTGTCATCTTCACTGGTTAGCTCCCTTGCAGCAGCAATGGCTTTGGAGAATTCCACAGTTTCATCCAAGGCTATACGTGCAAAATTCTGGTGATGAGCCAAATCAATGCGACCACCCTCAATGAAAATAAAATAGCCCTCATCGTTTTTCGATAGGAATTCAATGGCCTTGCTGGTCATTTCCTCCAAAGTGGGTTGATTGGTGGTCTCGTCGGTCTCCAAATGATACAGCATGTGATCGTCTTGGTATAGACCAAAGACACGATCGTAATTCTTCAAATCGGCCGACATCAGCTCATCACGTGTCTCAACATAGAGATTACGTGACCCGTCCTGGTTTTTGAATTGATCCACCAAATTTAGGCCATCTCCACGGCGACCATTGGCATAGAGACGGGAATCGATGAAATGCTTCTTGCCACCACCCATGACAAAGTTCAATTTACTACCAACCTCGCCATTGATCAGCTGATAGGCAATGTCTTCAATGCCCTTGTCAGAACCACAAGCTGTCTTGACTTCTTGATCGTTTTCCCAATCGCGATGAGCAATGTGGGCATAAACTCCCGAAGGTGAGGCATGGGTGATGCGTGTTGTGGTCACGACACCAGTACTTTTGCCAACATCTTGAGCCCACTTGGCAATGGAGTACACCCATTTCTCTTTATCTTGACCCTTCTCACAATCGCCATACTCCACATCACCATTCACGCCTATGGTGCCCTCTTGGGCTTTTACACCACACAAATAGGCCGTGGCAGTACAGGCCGAATCTGGTACGATTTTATCCACTGAATAGGTCTTGGATAAACCAGTGTAGGGGAACTCATTGAAGGACAATTGTTTCTCCTCACCACCCAAAAGATTGCGAGCTGCCGCCACTGTGGTTAGACCCATGCCATCGCCCAAAAACATGATCACATTTTTGGCACGCTTCTCATTGAATGTAGATGACAATTTCTTTTGGATGAAATCTTTGCTCAAATTACGCCAATAATCGTTGGTATCTTCTCCGGCCATGGCCCTACTTAAGGGGATCTTTGATGCGGGGAAGTCAGGATGCATACGACGATCTTTGCACTCCTCATCATTGGCACTGCATTTTGGTAACGCTCCAATATTCTGCACCAACAGCAGGGAAATAGCGAGCCCAAGGGCTAGCTGACGAACGTTGCTTGACAACCACATGTTGGCCAACGTAAGACTCAAGGCAAACTGAGTTAAGAGGTCTCTGTTTAGAACCAAAGAAGTTATCTTCACAAATATCAAAAGAACTGCATGGACAGGCCATAAACAAAAATCTCTATGCGAGAGATTAGATTAAGGAGGGTGTATTTTTCCGATTAACGTTAACTTATCGATCGACAGAGTGTATGTGTGTGCCGCGGTCAAATGGGTTACACCATTTCAGGGTTTTTTTCAAAGCTAATAAATTCAAAAGAGGTTTCTGAAGAAATAAAAATTTCAATTAAAACATTTTAAGGAATATGGGCCAGAAAGTCTTCTCCAGATTAAAAAAAAAAAACATTTCAAAAGGAACTACCAGATTTTGTGCTATTGGAATTACAATTTTCGAATTTTGAAACAATAAAAGCTGTGCGGGATTTGTGATCCATCGGGCACATTACTGTAAATTGAAAAAAATTACAAAGATATTTGAAAAAAAATATTATTTATGGTATCACTGGTATCACCTACTGTTTCAATAAATATCGGTAACGTTGTAAACAAAGAAAATCGTATGTGTCAAATTTAAAGTTGCTGGGAATTATTTCTAATAATTCACACACACGATACATGCACGGTAACCAGGCAACTTTATCTGGCATAATCTAACAAATGTTTCTATACTTAAAACAATAAAAACAACAACTTTCTTAAAATATCTCTTAACAAGTTTAAGAGTATCGGTCGGCATTGCCGACATATTGATACCCTCAGCTTTTATCCGTTTATTAAAATATATTTTGACATGTTTTATTATTATTCAAAATTTTGACCCTCTATAAGAGAGCTACCGATTGAGTAGAACAATATTGTCCATTTCCTTTATGACCTTAGACTGATATAATCATTGGAGGTGACATCCTTGGATAATGGAAGTGGGCCCATAAATTGCATATTCTGATTAGATCTCTTGTTGGTAAAGGTAATATACAAGGTTTGAAGAAAATCGTTGACATATTTCGCATGTTATGGGAGTTATAATTATTCACAAATTTGACCCTTTGTGGGGGAGGTACCAGAAAGAGAGGACCGATTTTTTATATATCCATAGTAGATCCTGTGTAGCATTAGATTGATTCAAGTTGCCTAATGTTTGTTTAATCAAAATATTGATGTTTGTTCAATCAAAATATTGATCCGTTGTGGTGGAGGTATCAGAAGGAATAAATGATTCCACCCGTTCCTCATACCTGATCTTGTATAGGTAGAAATATTGGGATGCGCGAAATTTGAAAACAGTAGGACTCTTATTTTACATTTTGTAATAGTTATTATTATGCAAAATGTTGACACGTTGTGGAGGAGGTATTATATGGAGTTGGCCGATACATTCTATCTTATTCAAAATTTTGACTTTTGTGGAGGAGGTATCAGAAGGTGTTAGCCAGTATATCACATTTTCACATCATATCTTGTTGTAATATTGGGATGTGCGAAATTTAAAGAAAATCTGATGCATATTTCATTTAAGTGTTTTAGATATTCCAAATGTAGACCCTTTGTGGGGAAGGTATTCAAAGGAGTGTTACCAAATATCCCATCTTCACATCAGATCTTGTTTTTGATAGAAATATTGGGATGTGCAAAATTTGAAAATAATCGAATAGTTTTTTTTCGTATTTTATGAGCGTTTTATTATTCAAAATTTTGACCCTTTGTGGGGGAGGTACCTGAAGGAGTGGTTCGCTATACTCCATCTTTACACCCGATTTTGTAATGGTAAGAATATTGGTATGTGTGTAATTTGAAGATGCATTATATTTAGCATTTAGATATTCCAAATTTGAACCCTTTGTGGGTAAGGTATTGGAAGGAGCATCCAATCTTGCGGTGGTGCAAATATCACGATTGGCAAAGTTTGCACAAAATCAGATTATTCGTTCTCTTCCTATGCGGTAAATTATTTTCTATGAAAATTTTAACCATTTCTGGGGGAGGTACCAGAAGGAGTGGACCGATATTGCTCATCTCCGAACTCGATCTAAGTTTGACAAAAATATTACGATGTACCAAGTTTGGACCAAATCTGATATTCCCTTCGATAGTTATCGTGAGCACCAGCCAGTCAGACAGACAGATGGACTGACGGACATCGATAAATCGACTCTAAATGTCCTGAAACGGATTTGGTCCAAAGAGACCCAGTGTCTAAAGCCGTTATTTCGACTAGGTACTCTTCGACTCTAGTCATATGGCTGAGGGTATAAAAATCATATTTAATGGATATGTCTACATTGGCTCCATGTTGGGCGCCATCTTAATCATATGTAAAAAGAATTCCAACAGTGCGATTCCAAATTAATATGTACTATTTCTTATATCAATAAAATATATCTAATAAATTGTTAAATAATTTCATTTCCCCTCCCTCCACCTATCTAACTTTAAATAGTAATTTATTATCATGTCCCACTTTATTGTAAATATATTATTTAACTGTGTGTGTGCGCCTTTATTAAAACTTAATCCATACTCATTAACACCTTCAGCAAATTTGTTGCACAATCGTTATTCCACAAAAGCGCAAAGAAACAAAAACATTTATTTTCAATAAATCAATGGACATACCTTGTTTTTTGTTTATACACGAAGCCAATCCATAACCAACCACATGTTCTCCAAGTTATGGCAACCATATTGCCCATCGATTGCAATAAATTATTAATCAAACCATTGTATTGTTTTTGTGTGTGTTTGTGTTTTCTTTTCCTCGACTTTTTTTTTTTTTTTTTTGGTAGGGCGCGGTAGTTCTTAATTTATTTAACTTTGATATTGACTGATAATGTGTTGCTATTTATTTTTTGTGTGTTTTACTTGTTATCTTCAACTGACAATAATCAAATGTCAATAAATCACTAAAATCGAAATCGAAACAGTTTTATTTTCAACAGTTAATGGATATTGTTTAACAAGTGGACAAGAGATAATAAAATATATTTTCAGTGAATTCAAGGTCCATTATAAAACGTTTCTACTGGTGAACCTTCTTGAAAAGTTTTGAAAAATACGCATTAAAATCTGTATATGACAACTCCCACTACTAAATAATGAGTTTCTAAACCAAAATTGATCACAGTTTTAATTACTGACAATTCAACATACTAACGCATTATTTTTACATGCAACCAAGAAAGACCAATAAGTCGGAAAAATTATTTGTTTATTTCGATGCCGATGTGATTGTTGATTTATGATTTATTTCCCATTTTACCACCATCCACGTTTTTATTTTGCCCCAGCTGTGAAAAATCTCGCAGACTTATCTTATTTAGTTAAAGACACTGGGTTACGGTTAAGAACATTATTCAACAAACAATTTGGTATGCACATGTGTCACTTTCAACACTTTTTGTAATGGCAAAGATTTATGCTCCGCATTTCCCTGTAGTCCAAAAGTAATGACAACTACATACCTTCTGCATTACCAGTAGCTTATAAATAATTAATTCTTCCTATAAAAATAACAAGTTTTTAGGGCGGTACTTCAAGGGCCAATGAAACCGTCACACGCTGCCCGAATGTTGCTCCGCGGTATTTTGGCCCATTCCCGGAGAAGCACTTGCTCGAGGTGGTCTACACTTTGGTATTTATTAGTGCCAATCTTGCTTTCCAAAATACTCCAGACACAATAGTCCAACGGACTGGTGTCCGGAGATTCTGGTGGCCATTGTGCGCTGGAAATGGCGCGAGGAACCTTATTTAGTAACCATTCTTGGGTGACGCGTGATCAGAGCGATGGTGCTGAGTCCTGTTGGAATGTACAAGGTCTGCGGTCAAAATGTTTGCATGCCAAAGGGTGTATTAAACACCCTCCAGAATATTTTCATGATAATATTCGGCATTTACTCTGATGCCACGGTCGATTAGTACGAGCGGAGAGTGACCATCGGCTGTTATGTCGGCCCACACCATCACCATGGCCGGCGCTTGAGTTCTGGTGGCCAACCGAAGGTGCACATTTCAGCTGACCTCTTTGGCAATTAAACAGAAACTGTTGGACAACGAATGTTTTCTCATCGGAAAACCCCAAATTCGGCAGTTCACCACTTTCTGCCAAGCGAAGCAACTCTTTAGCTCTTTTGAGTCTATTTTCTTTCTGTTGCGGTGTTAGTTCTGCACTTTTTGGAATTTCAATGGCTTTACCCCGAGCTCATTTTTCAATATTTGCCGAATGGAATATTGCGATATGTCCAGCTCACGAGCCATTTTTCGGCCACTACGATGCGGGTTTTGATTAAGTCGCTTCTTTACTTTTCGAACCATTTCTGTTGATGTTGCTGTTTACTTCCGTCCACTTCCTGGACGTTGGGCCACGCTACCAGTATCACGGTAACGAGCGATGGTACGAGACACAAAAGATTTATTAATTTTCATTTCATATTATTTAAATGCTGGAGTGCTCTTACGATAGCCACTTGTGATTTTCCTGCCAAATATAACGAAAACACACTATCACGCTTGAATTCCATCACGAATAACATTTTTCTTGGAAAATTCTCACCAAAATGCTTTCCTACGCTTGTAACCAACAAAGTGAGCTGTCACTGCAATAATTTTAATAGCTGTCGGACGAGTGGCTTAGTAATGACAGCAGTCTGAAGTTGATTGCAGTTTATTCATCTCACCCTGTATGTATTGAAAATTGTAACCCATTGTGGGCGACGTACAAGAAGGGGTAGGCCGATATATACCATTTTCATATCAGATCTTGTGTTGGCACAAATATTGGAATGTGCGAAGTTTAGAACCAATCAGATGCGTATTTGGAATTTATAAGCATTTTAGTCATTCAAAAGTTTAAGCCCATTTGTGGGGGAGATACCAGAAGGAGTGGACTGATATATCCCATCTTCACAACAGATCTTGTGATCTGCAAATATGTCTGCTATTTCCTTAGGTTCACATGATTCTCTACTACCGAATCACATACTACTGGGAAATTCACGGACTTTCCTTTTTGAATTAACGAATTTATAAAAGTTCTTAGGATTTTTATAGAGG